CCCGGTTCGCCATATTCGTGGCCACCGTTTTGGTCATGTATTTCGTGATGTTCAGGGTCTGGTCCACGTTCTTCAGTATACCGCGCGCTCTGGCCAACAGTCCGCTGATGCCTAAGCTCTCGGTGGAAGCCTGTCGTTGCGGGGGTCGACCCCATAGGCCGCCGCCACAGCCGCTCTTATTGGTCGACAACTCGTACGGCTGTTTGGACTCGTATTCGGTGATCGAGTCGATGGAGTCGATTGAGTCCATTGAACCCAACTGACAGTCGGCCAGTAGTGTACTCTGCGGACACTTTTGCTGCTCGAGCGCGTAGTGGTTGCAGAGGGACAGGTAGCTCTTGGACGGGGCGTCGCAATCAATGGACTCGATGCTGGCGAGACTGCCGGACGGCGAGCACTCCGAGTCCATGGACTCGCTTTTGCGGTACACCTGCTGCTCGCTGATCGTCTCGAAGGCGCCGGTGGTGTTGTGACCGGTCTTGTAGTGGTCGCCGCCGCCGCGCCCAACCCGCCGACGGACCCGCACTCGGATCGGGTGCGCGATATGCGGCGCCCGCTGTAGGCGTTGTCGGCGATGAGCTCGAAGCCGGTGTCGGCGTCCGACGCGAACGTACAGTCAGGACAGGGCGAGAAACTGCGGCCCCCGTTGACGGCCGATACCCTGTCCCACAGGCGGCCACCCCTCGCGTACTCGAGTAACAGGAATAACGCGTATTCGGTCTTAAATATGCGATAGATTTGTACCATAAATGGGATGTCGTTCGGGAATATGCTTTGGGCCACAGATAACGAGTTCACAGACAAATGCCGGTGCGATGCGGTCGTGGATGAGGTGGTGGTGTTGGCGTCAAACATATTGGACTTATAGATGACTTTAATGACAAACGTGTTGTTAGTGGTGGTGTCGATCACGATCTGCACTCTCTTGCTGTCGACGCCAATCACTTTGAATTTAGACAACTCTTGCGATGAGCCGAACCAACTCTGGACTAACGTGGCGTTCAGTGACTTAAACGGACTGTCCTATAGGGCCGGTGCGCCATAAATACAAAAAGTTTTGTTGCAATCAATGAACTCAATACACAATTCAATACTTATTAAATACAATGTAATCATGCATTCAATGGTATCAATCAAATGGTTATATCAATTGCGAGGCCATACCGGCGCCCATCGACGGCTCGGCTGGAATGAGTTGGTGCCGGACAGGTATGTGTCGTATATGTGCTCGGCTCGGGTCAGGTACTGGAAGGTCTTGCGCCGAATGGAGGCCTTCTTCTCGGAGTCAGTCTCGTCGCCCACCCCTTGCAATAGGACGCCGACCGCACACTTGTACGACTCGAACGCCGGCTCCCATTCCCCGCACTCCTCGTGCTGTTGCGCCTGACGTAAGATAATGGCCGCGTCTAAGAGGTAGGTGTCCGTCGGATCCCTGGGCTCCGGATCTGTTGGCTGTGCGACTGATGGCTCGCCTATGGGTTGATCTAATGGTTCATCTAATGGCGGATCTATTAATGGATCCATTGATGGGACGTCTGGTAAAGCGAATGATAGAGCTATTGATGGAACTATCGGTGGATCTATTGCCAGATCTTTTGATTGGTCTGTTCGGTGATCAGCCGTTCGGCTCGGATTGGAGTTTGGATTAGGAATCGGATTATCGTTAGAAGTGTCGATCGCCTCCACCGTTTGGTCCGACTCATCACAAGATATGCTGAACTGTTTGGCGAACACATCGTTTGGTATCTCATCCAAAGTCTTCACGTCATCACATTTGGTCATCAATTGGGCGAACGGTTCGGGAAAGTCGACGTTCGCCTCATCGGTGGTGCTATTATCACAAGTGGTCGACACTGTCGCCGGTTTGCACTCTTTGCTCGACTGGTTATCACACGATTTGATCGCATGAATGAACCACTCATTGGAATTGTCACCGCATTGTACTTCTTGTGGCGACTCATCAACGGAAGTGTTTGCTATGTTATTACCGGTTGTTGTGGTTGTGGTTGTGATCACTGAATCCGTTGGGTTCGTTGAATCAGATTCCGCCACATTCTGTGTCTTATCGCTCACCACATTCTGATCCCTAACCTCACTGTCCATCGGCTGATGGCTGGGCGTCGAGTAATAACTGCTGCCATCGCTGACAGTATCGCTCCAGTCGTCGCCACCGGGACTCAGACTCGGCTCCAGAGGCGGCGGCAGACCATTCACCTCTTCGTCGTCGATGGGAGTGTCGATATCAATGGGCTGACGAGCGGTGGCGGCCGTAAAGTTGGTGACAGAGTTGTCGAAGAACTTCACAAACACAGAGCTCGTGAAAAGGGTCGGGTGTTTGGCAGCGAAGTCCAGCAGTTCCAGCGCCGACTGCCGGCGCTCTTCGATCACCTGAGCGTCGAAACGGCCGAACACTTTGGACTCCGGGAACGCCGGGAACTGTCCCTTCAGGTGAAG